GGACATAAAGGAGGGCACTTGAAGTAATGAGCACTGAGTGTTGTATGCAAGTGATGAATCACTAAATTCTACTTCTTAAACTAATAATACAGTATATGTTAATTAAACTGAATTTAAATTTAAAAAAATTGAAAAAGAATTATAGAGAACAAACTGATGGTTACCAAAGGGGAGGCAGGTGGGGAGACGGATGACGGGATGGGGATGAAGGAGGTCACTTGTGATGAGGACTGGGTGTTGTATGGAATTGTTGAATCACTACATTGTACAACTAGCACTAATATTACACTGTATATTAACTAACTGCAATTAAATAAAAACTTAAAAAAATAAAAAAATAAATAAAATTTTTAATAATGCTTTTTCCCCTAAAAAACGATTTTATAGGCAATTAAAATGGTTTCAAAAGCTGTCTTTGGAGAAGTGCCCAGATGGCTCCGTTGGTTAAGCCACTGACTCTTGATATCTGTATTTTATTTCAATCTTCTGGACAATGATCCTGGGCAATTCAAATCCATCTTCAGCATAAAGGGTTTGCTGTTGGCAACTACTAGATCGAGCAGATCGCCGGGCCAGATGCTGCTTCCCAGGAGGGTACGCAGGGCAGCTTCTGAGGAGCCCCAGTCAGAGGCTCCAATGACAGCCGTGGAGACGCTGAAATTGGTTGGGACCGACGATCTTTGAGTGTGTGGTTGTGTGTCTCTTTTGGGAGAAGAGGGGCTTCTGGACAAGGGCCCAGGGCGTATCTACGGTGTGTGCACTAGACAACTTTGCATTATCGGTCCCGCTGGCACTTGAGGACTCCAACTCCACGTGGTCCCACAATGGAGGCATGGTGAGTAAGCCTCGGTGCTGACCAGCAAGGACTTGACCTGGCCCAGGCACATGAGACTCAGCCTTGAACCTACAAATTCCAGGTGTTCAGAGAGGCCTTCTAAGGAAAGCAGCCCTTATTTACCACCTGACAGTTTACAGGGAGCACAGCCCCACAAAGACAGGAGTGTGAGGTGTCCTCAGGAACTGCATGGCAGAGAAAAGCCTTCCACAGGTAACTCCAGTGAGGAAGCCTTCATTAGAAATACCTTTTGTGTTTGGCACTGCAATGTGTCAAGCACAGAAAGGTGTCTGAGGGCAGTGAGTAGGAGAGAGCCAAAGCTCTCACCTTCTTCCAGAAGTCCCCACTGCAGAAAGCGTTTAGAGTGCCCCTTCTTCTGGGGCTCCTGTGTCACTTGTCACCAGAAAGGTCACATGCTGGTAGGGGTTTAAGTGTGTGGCCAATGTGGCATGCCTCTAGCAGAAGATACGCACTTGGTGGTTCACAGCAGAGAGGGTCTTTGGCCCCAGGAAGGTGGGAACTCGCTCAGCACGTGTCCTTGCTCTGAAGAAATGCAGGCCCACCTGTGAGGACCCTTAGGAGAACAGCCTTTGGGAGAAAGCCTTCAGTCATAATTCAGCTCCGAGCATCGGGAGTAGCAGTCGGGGGAGATCACAAGAGTCATTTGTGTGCAAGCCTTCAGGGACTGTGTTGCATTCCCTGTCGTCCCCGGGCCCAGCTGTCTGACTCTCCCCATCTCCCTCAGCCACAGCAGAAGCCCCCTCGGGCCCCCGATCCTGGCTGTGCTGACATGCATAGCAGTCACCCATGGCAGCCAAGAAGGTGGCCCCTGGGTCTCCCCTGTTACAGGGTTCGGCACAGAACTCACCCAGGTGGCCAAGGGGACCAGAGGGGCATCTGCTACAGGTTCTGGGCAAGGATCCTTACTTCATGGATTTCTTTTTTTTTTTCTTTCTTTTTTCTTTTTTTTAAAGTCTGTAGTCGACGGCTGTGATGATTTCAATTGGCTTGTGAATCACCTCATTCTGGACCCACTACCTCAGAATGCTCTCCACCACGTGGTCACAAGTCACATTTCCATGTGGGCGTCCTGTTGGGGTGGGTTGTGATAGAAATGGACGGCTGCCAGCTGGGAGGTGGTCCTCGGGGCCAGCAGCACACGCCTCAAGGCCCCATGGAGTGGGCTCATTTGCCCCCCTCCTCAGAGGGCCCCCGAAACACACTGAAGGGCTCTGTGGACAGACCTTCTTGTCTGCAACTCAGAGTTAATTCTGAGTCCAGACCTTACCCTGTGCTGGGGACAATGTCTATAATACTAGAGTGGTCTGGGAAGGTGGGTAGGGGGTTCCTACCTCTCGGGGAGGGTGGATTTGCCCGAGATCTGGTCCATCGTGAGATCTTGGGCAGCCAGAAGAGCAGGGCACGTGGGTGAGGAACACCAACCAGGGGATCAGAGTAAGCCGGGAGCCAGCATAGGCCACCTATCGGGGAAGTGAGCGCCTTCCTCTCCAGCGGAACCCATCAAGGGTATCAAGGGTATTCATGGGCACTAGCTCTATGCAGGATTCTGTGGCTTCATCTGCCACCTTGATGAAGTCACACACTCAGCGGAAGCTTCCCATGGACACGGGCCCATCTGTAGCTCCAGGGGCCAGTGGTCTGTCGTTGCTGCCAAGGCGGTGGCTCATTTCAGCTGACACAGTTTCCCCTCTGGGGCCCAGCTTTCGCCTAGCTCTGACGTATATATACTTGTCCTTATTTTGTGGTCAGCACAGCCATTGTTTTAAATATTCATCATCACTAGCCATCAGAGAGATTCAAATCAAAACCACACTGAGATACCACCTTACAACAGACAGAATGGCCAAAATTAACAAGACAAGAAACAATGTGTGTCAGAGAGGATGTGGAGAAAGGGGAACCCTCTTACACTGTTGGTTGGAATGCAAGTTGGTGCAGCCACTTTGGAAAACAGTGTGGAGATTGTTTAAGAAATTAAAAATAGAGCTACCCTATGACCCGGCAATTGCACTACTGGGTATTTACCCCAAAGATACAGACATAGTAAAAAGAAAGGCCACGTGTACCCCAGTGTTCATAGCAGCAATGGCCACAATAGTCAAACTGTGGAAAGATCTGAGATGCCCTTCAACAGATGAATGGTTAAAGAAGTTGTGTCCATATATACAATGGAATATTACTCAGTCATCAGAAAGGAGGAATACTCAACTTTTGCATCAACGTGGTTGGGACTGGAAGAGATTATGCTGAGTGAAGTAAGTCAAGCAGAGAAAGTCAGTTATCATATGGTTTCACTTACCTGTGGAACATAAGGAATAGCATGGAGGACACTAAGAGAAGGAAGGAAAAGAGAAGGGAGGGAAATCAGAGGGGGAGATGAACCACGAGAGACTGTGGACTCTGAGAAGCAAACTGAGAGTTTGGGAGGGGAGGGAGGCAGGAGGATGGGTGAGCCTGGTGGTGGGTATTAAGGAGGGCACGTATTGCATGGAGCACTGACTGTTGTACATAAACAATGAATCCTGGAACACTGCATCAAAAACTAATGATGTATTTTATGGTGACTAATATAATACAATAAAAATTAAAAAAAAATAATGTTTGTAATTTAACCCAGTATTTTTATATGGGAGGTGCTGAAAGGATTTTGAAGGATATCAGCTCACCCTGCTGTCAGATACCGAACTGCAATATAACTTATTTTATGCCGAATTCCATGTACTAATATCTAAGGTCAGTGGAACGAGCAAAGGAAACGATTCTCAGTCCCACTCAGCACAGTTTCCCCCTTTGACTGATTTGCAGCTAAATCCTTAAAGATGCAAAAGTGTCTATTCTGCTGTGAGTGAATCCTGCCAATTCATATCAAGGTTCAGGAGAGGCGGTCAGACTGTCAGGAATTGTAACAGGTGTTCAAAGGACCTCACATTACTGGAAAGATGATAGAGACCACATATGTGTGTGTAGAAGGGTGAATGGGTCGCTGGATGGAGATATAATCATTACATGTAATTGTAATCAGGAGATATTATTCACTATAAAAAATACATGCTGCACCTGTATGCGTGCACGTGTATGTAATTATACTGATGAGTTCTGCCCCATAAATATACACACTTTCCTTTCATCTCCGTCACAAACTTACAAGACTGTGTTATGCCTCAATACATGGGAGTGATGTACAAGTCATTATCTTTCTTCAGGATTTGCATTAATAAAAACCTGTTCATGGTCCTCGCCCCTGTTCGATGGAAAATGATCGGTAGTGATGCTCGCAGCTCCCTCTGGACCGGGCAACCGCCCTGCGGACTGGAGAGAGGAGGCGCGCCTAACTGCTCTAGCTCAGACTCTACCTGTTGCTGCTGACAGACCGTTTCTTAGAGAAGATGCGCACTGCCAGGCAGCGGTGACAGTTTGTGAACCAACACTGACATTCGGGTTGGCGCCGCAATGGCATTTAGAGCTCGGGAGATACCTACAATCAGATCATGACAGATCGAGCAGTTTTTGAGGTAAAAAGTAAAACAGTATACAAATTATGGACATGATCAGAATGTAAAATGATCTAAAAATAATTTCAGTACTTAGGGTCTCTTTTAAGAAATATCTGCTCCATATGACGCATCAACATAGAGCATACGTTCGCAGAGGAAGGGGACGGCAGAGAACGGAAGACGGCCATTCAGTTGTACAGCAGCTCATCCTCACCAGATTTTCTAAGAGCCCGCCATGTCACCAAAGGCAAGGTAGAAAGAGATAAAGAAAGAAAGTAATTTTGAACGATGATGAATATAAATACAAAATATCACAGCACCGGCACAATGATTAACCTTGTATCTTTGTTACTTTCTTTTGCTAGGCTCCGAAGTGGTTCTTTATAACCCATGAATATCACTTTTAAGGAGTTTAAAGGGACATGTTTCTACAGTGTCACCCAAAGTGGTTAAGTGGAAAATGACACTGGGTGGCAATTAACAAGGTAGAATTTGGGGTGACTATGTAAGTATCTGAATCTAATGACACTTCAGCACTATGGTATCAGATGGAAGAAAAATCAGTTAGCATTCTTGTCTCTGTGCTAATTTCCTACTAAACACTGAAGATGCCATAATGAAAAAAAAAATGGATTTGACCAGGTACTTACAGCTGTAGTTCCAGAGCAGTGTGCAGACTGGCATTTGCCGGTCATCCGGTTTGGGATTAAGACATCATCCCAGCAAGACGGACCCTTTGAGAAAAAACAACACATACTTGGTGCATGAAATGTAACATGAATGTACTCCCTAGAACAATTTCCAAAATCCATTGATATTATAAAATGATAATGAAAGTAATTTGTAGTCCAGCAATATAATCTACAGAACCTAGGGGTCCTCTAGATCCTTTTGGAGGATCTAGTAGATGAAAATTATTTTCAACAAGCACACGAAGATGATCTTTGGTGCATTGATCCAAACACATAAGACATTCACATGTAAGACATTCCCCGGCCCCAGCACATGCACACACACAGGTGCACCAAACACACACGTGCACACACTCCCACACACAGGCACACCACACACGGACACTCACCTTACCATACACACCTGCCTGTGCACACACACGTTATCACAGCACATACATACCTCCCACCACACGCTTACCGCACACAGAGGCACCAGAAACACACACCCAGATGTGTGCATACACACAGTTTTGGAGAAAAACAGGGGAAAGCAGAGGGAATCTGGGAATTGAGCGTCTATCTCAAGAGGTGCTACCTTCTGAATTCGCAGATCATTAAACCAAAAGCCACTGCTTCAACCAGAGAAAGGTAACTGGCATAAGAAAGCATTTGCAGCCTGAGACTGCTGTCCTTAGGGGAGGCTGCTTCTGGAGTGGCCCTAGGCCCTGGGCCCAGGAAGCTGGGTGTGGGGATTGTTCACACTCACCTATGGACACAGAGGGTTGGCAGCATCACAAATGTCTTGAAGACAAGCTGGTGTGTGCTGAACACCTTTCTACCACCTGGGAGTCTGGAACTGTGATCTGCGCTAGGCAGGGGTACACACTGACCGGCCCCCAGTAAAGCCTGGGTGCCGAGTGAATGAGCTTGTCCTGTATGGCTCTGCTGGGAGAGGGCCCTCGGAAACGTGCCTGTGGTCTCCTCCCGACATCGCGCCACAAGCCTTGTCCCTCTGTTGGGGGGGGCATGAACCGTACTGTGTGGGGGGCTGCCCACAGAGTCCCAGAAGCCTTACTGGAGAATCGCCACCTTGGGGACCCATGACACAGTGACACTGATTCATCATCAAGGGCATGTTCTCTCAGCTCCACGCAAGAGTCAAGGTTCATGATTAAGAGCACATCAGTTATGGGGAATAAGAAAGTTCATTTCCTTTGCGCCTCTAAACATAGTGCATGCATTTCAATCTACCATAGCCATAGCAATGTAAACATCCACTTGATTTTCAACCTTACAATTCTACTATTGAAAATGGATGGGGACCTCTGGGTGGCTCAGTCATTAAGCCTCTGCCTTCGGCTCAGGTCATGATCCCAGGGTCCTGGGATGGAGCCCCGCATTGGGCTCCTGGTCGGCAGAAGGCCTGCCTCTCCCTCCACACTCTCCCTGCTTGTGTTCCCTCTCACTACGTCTCTCTCTGTCAAATAAAATAAAATCTTAAAAAAAAAAAAAAAGAAAAGAAAATGGACAGAGGATTGTGGACCAAATACACACGTCATGCCTCTTGGGCAACAGAATAGTAAAGTCATAAATGTTAAGAACTGGATGGCAAGGGTAGAGTTGAGAGAGAAGTGAAAGGGGGGATAGATATCTTGCCCCCATAAGATGTTATTTTTTTATTATAAAGCAATCTGTATGTTTGATTTTTAAACATAGGCATATATCCGTTTGATCAAAATGACACATGTAGTGAAGTAAAAGTGACATAAAGGACAGCCACCAAGAACTTAGTGACATTTATCTTGCTTTCCCAACTTAGCAGGAGAGACTCAAGGACAAGTGTGGCTAGAGTGCCACTTCCCACATCCTGTTTCAACCCTGGGCCAAGGACCCATCTTGGGCGTTATGGTTCTCGATATTAGGAATCAAGTTTCTTTCATTTTTAGACAACTCGGGAAATATTAGAGTCAAATCTGCGGCCTAGCTCTGGAAAGTGTACATAGCTTATAATAAATTCTTGGTTTACTACTACTACCCTTGCTTTCCTATCATGTTCCTCAATTTATTTTCCCTTGCCCTCTTTCCTCATTCTACGTAGTTTCTCTTGTTTTTAGCCCCAATGTATTCTTGCAAACTTGTCAAGTCCTTCTGAAGTGAGGCAGGGTACCAGGAAATAATTGTGAGGGACTCGTGGCCTTTCCTTCTTAACTCTCCAAAACCACTGCCCACTTCTAACAGGAGCAGCTTCTTGGGCCTCTCGCATCCGGGACACCATCCTCCCGTCCTTAGAACCTAGTGATCTGGTCTCAGGCAGGACACGCCGTGGCTGGTGGGTGCAGCATGCTTGAGGCTCAGGAGAGTCCCTGGTGGCAAAGGAAATCCATTTCGTCGTGGATAACCACTAACTAAACACGAAGATGTTGCTTCCTTGCTCTGTTGATATGGAACATTCCTTCTGAGGCTTGTTCAGGAAGCACCAACCTCCTTAGACCACATGCCATGGTGAGAGAGAAACCCAACACCAGCCCCATCTGGGGAAGGGGCACTCCCTGATCATCACATGCACAACCTGGGCCCTGTTTGCATGTCTGCTCAGAGTAAGATTCCCGGCCTCAAAGTCTAGGATGAATCAAGACGCTCTATGCATATCACAGATACTTATTTTTCCTGCCTGACTTTTTCAGTCCAAAAAGCAGCAAAAGCATTTATGTAACAATTCCTATAGTTGTCTCATAAAATACTACTTAATCTGATCTATCCTTGTTTTGTACAAGAAAATTATAGAAAACTCAGTCACGATCGGCCTCTTTGATCTCAAACCATAACCAGATAGCCTAAGTAATAAAACCGAACAGAATTCCAATGAATACGGGAGTCCAACATAATGAAGTAAATGAGTTAGTTTATCCACAGTACTTATAGTATGGGTATTGAATGTTACTGTGATGCCCATCCTGAAAATTGAAACAAATGTTCCAGTGAATTTATGCCATTAGAAAGCAGATTTAACATTGCTCCTTCCTAGTCTTAGAAAATATAAAATGTTAATTGGTTCATTGCTGCATACTTGCGTTTTAACAGATGCTTGGTGAAATCACGTGCAATTTATAGCCTTTACATGGAGCACAAAGGTCTCCAGATGACAAGACTAAAAAAGTACTGCATATCACATTACAGCAGTGTCAAGGACAGAATCACTCCCCCCCAAATGTATTTCATCTATCAAATGCAAAGAATTGTAGGAATACATCTAAAAAAAAAAAAAAAAAAAAAAAAAACAGGGGCGCCTGGGTGGCTCAGTGGGTTAAAACCTCTGCCTTCGGCTCAAGTCGTGATCCCGGGGTCCTGGGATCGAGTCCCGCATCGGGCACTCTGCTAAGTGGGGAGCCTGCTTCCTCTTTCTCTGCCTGTCTCTCTGCCTACTTGTGATCTCTGTCAAATAAATAAATAAAATCTTTAAAAATAAAAAAATTAAAAAATAAATCACATGGCAAAATGGTGTGAAATACATGTTCTCCCTGGAGCACCTGGGTGGCCCAGCTGGTTGAGTCTACCTTCAGCTCAGGTCCTGGGATGGAGTCCCGCATCTGGCTCAGCGGGGAGCCTGCTTCTCCCTCTCCCTCTCCCTCTGCCTCTCCCTTTGCCTCTCCCTCTCCGTCTGCCTCTCCCTCTCCCTCTGCCTCTCCCCCTGCTTGTACTTTCTTTCTCTGTCAAATAAATAAATAAAATCTTTTAAAAAATCTTTAAAATCTTTTATTTTATTTAAAATCTTTTAAATAAAATCTTTTTTCAAAAAATCTCCTTCTTTTGCCCAATACTGTCTATACGACCAAGAGAATACATAAATTATTTGCGCTTCTACAGAAGGGATGAGCAAACTACGGTCTGCTGACCAAATCTGGCCTAGGCTTTGTTTCTAAACAGCAAAAGCCAATTTACAAACATTGGTTATAAATTTGTAAATGATTCAAAGGCACAAAAAGAAGAGTCTTCATGGCGTATGAAGGGTAAGTGACATGCAGGTTTCCGTGTCCACAAAGAGACTGGAGTGGAACACAGCCACGGCTGCTCACTTACCTGTCGTCTATGCTGCTTTTGAACTGCAAGAACGGAACACAGACGACGCGGCTCGCGAAGCCTGAAATACTTACTACCTGTACCTTCATGGAGAAAGTGTGCCAATGACTGATCTATGGTCGAAAATATCTTCCAAGTTCATATTGAAAAGCCTTTTGAAAAAATATTATGGTAGCATTTTGGCCACCATATAATGTCACCAGTTTGTAGAGTAGCTGTATTCTGGGTCTCCAGTGAGAAATTACTTCAATTAAAACTTGAGAGCCATTGGCCTGTAGAATCCAAGGTGTTGTTAGAATGCAGTGGCTCAAGTTATTGGAATCAGTAAGAGTGGAAAGCTGCAACTAGAGATGACATTTGGGGATTTCTCCCGATAATATTACCAGCAAAAGAAAAACGTAAAGTAGAATATTATTTAAGTACATCTATATGGTGTATGTAAATCAGAGACTCAGGAAAATGACTTGATGGCATGAAAGCAGTGGCTACATTTGTAAAGTAGAGGAGTCTTAAAATTTACTTTTAAAAATTGTAGGACTAATCCACAAGTCATTTTTGCTATGTCTTGTATGTCCAATCAAGTGGAAAACAGATAAGATTCAAGGTACTTAAGAGGCTAATTCTTGTCCAAATATTGCTCTGACAAGATCCAAACAGTTGTAGCAAAAGAGGTTTAGTTTTCCCCCTGAACCATCTAAATAATTCCATAACCTGCTTTTCATAGGTGGGCATATACATTGCTGTCTAAAAAATCCTTGTTTTGTGCAAATCCTGTTTTCTAAAATGTTACTACAAAATCTTGGCATTTTGCAGTTTTTTAAAAGGGTTACTGTAGGGACACGTGGGTGGTTGAGTCAGTTAAGAGTATGCCTTCAGCTCAGGTAATGATTCCAGTGTCCTGGAATTGAGCCCCACAATGGGCTCCCTGCATCAGTGGGGAGCCTGCTTTTCTCTTTCCCTCTCCCCTCCCCCCACTTCTGTGC